ACGGCCCGTCTGACCGAGATCCAACCGCGAATGGTCAGGAGCTACATTACTTCAAGGGTCCATACATATATGTCTATGACGTCGATGAGAAGCAAAAGCCTATCATGGTCAGAGAGTACAAGAAGGTTGCCGAGAAGGCAAAGGGCGACTGGCCCCAGTTCCGTACTGCTGCATTGGGACGATGTCCGTTTATTAACGAGCATGAACCGAGAGATCCCCGACCCGAGCCCAAGCCGAAAGTCCAGGTGACCAGAGCCGCCGCCGAGGCTAAGCCTACTCCTCAATCCTTCAAGATGGAACCTCCGAAGCCCGTGGCTAGAAAGCGATCGTTATGTGAGATGGAAAACGGCCATTCCCGTGGCTCTAGTGTCGCCTCCATGGACCTGTCCAACTCATCTAGATTACCTGTTGGTCAGATTGTTGAACCACGCTCTAATGCGTTTACCGGTCGTGCTGCTAGCCGTCTCTTTGGTGGCGAGCCGGTTGCATCCGGAGTTCAACCTTCGAACATAACATCGGCGATTCGATCCCAGATGATCTCATCCACCGCAACAACACCAGGCCTCATAACTGGTCTAAGCAAGGAAGTCCACGGCCTTCAGCGTCAGGTCCTAAAGCGCAACAGTACCGCGACTTCGCAGGATTTGAGCTCTCGCCGGAATGCCGAGATAAACCCGCGAGACGAGATCCCAGTCAAGCGGACTTTCCCTATGAGTCGTACATCGAGTCGAAAGTTAGATTTTGTTGATGAAGATGCCACCGATAAAGACCCCCAAGAAGTATCCAAACCGAAGGTTGCTCCGCGCGCAGAGAAGCGAGAATCGTCACAGTCAAAGAAAAGCGAGCTCAAACCAGGTTATTGTGAGAACTGCGCGGATAAATATGCTGATTTCGATGAGGTATGTCCCCTTTCTAAATATGAATAGTTCTATTGCATCGGGTACTAATGGTTTCTGCAGCACATCCTGTCCAAGAAGCATCGCAAATTTGCCGACGATGATCGTAACTGGGTTGACTTGGATGACCTCCTTGTTCAACTTCAGCGTATGCCTAAGCGCAAATCCTTCTCATCTTGGGCTCCTTCTCTTCAAGAATACGACGAAGTCTACTAGGTTCACACTAATTCAAACTCACTCACTTCTGCCAGCAGATGCAGATTTATCCCCGATACACTCCGCAGTTCTATAAGCTGTGCTTGCCAGCCGATCATTCGCAGCTAGGAATGCACCATACTTCAACCCTACTTCTAATTTTGGACTGTCTTTTCTACGGCATTCGCGGTGCGATGATACCCATTTTGACCCATATTCGGCTGGAACGATGGAGCCTAATACGCCTTTCCATATATTTTATGGAAAGGATATGGCATGGCATGGCATGGCATGGAGTCCCAGCATTTAGTTCTTTTCGCATCCACTCGTCAGGCATCTCTATTTTATGCATTGTTGGCGGAGGGTGGTTTTTTCTATTTCGTCAAAAATCTTAAGTTGGTCTAGCGCTCCAAACGCCAGCCTTCACGGGTGTCTAGGGGTTCCGGTATGGACGGCGCTTGACGGTAACCTGACTGGCGGCTGGAACGACATTAAAAACGATAGTATTCGACATTAACGAAGCGAACGGTGTAAATATGGTCACTAGGTTGTGTATATATAGGTAGTAGTCCATAAGACGAAGAACTGTGCAAATCTAAGTTTTTCCAATCTCTTCTCGTCGGTCAGTCCGAAAATTCCTTGGCTTGATTCCCCTTTAGCTACGGTGATGATGACTTAATTGCCTTGAGGTCTGTTGGCAACAAGATGTATGTGGCTAGGTGTGGCGAGCGGTTTGGGGGTGGCTTTGGTGTGTCCTACCACTACTCATCACATTGTACGGTAAATAGGCTAGGTTAGGTACCTATTAGGATGCTACCCAGTAAGCCCCCAAATCATTTTTGCTACTTTCTACTAAGGAGATTTGTCCCAGTTAGAAGTGCAACCGCGTACTCGACAGATATAATCATTACATATTAATGGGCCGTATTTCAAATCTGGATTATCATGGATCCAGTACTATCAGAGCTCAAGGTCCCTTGTGTCTGCGAATATGAGAGGGATACCGGACCCTTCAGAACTTACCCGGATAGGCATAGGATCGATCCCACTGCGTTAGAGCTCGATACGCCGGATTCTCTAACAGAGTCCCAGTTCACGATGCATCTCCAGAATTGGCTCTGTTTTGGTTTAATTAGGGAGATTTGCCAATTATGCCGGGTTCACTTTCACCCTTCTGACCTGGTGATTGACGAACGAGGAAGTCGGATTATTTCATACGCGAAGTTGGAACAGTATATCTGGTATTGGTGTGGTGCAGGTCATACAATTGCAGAAAAGGAATGGGTCACGGCCAGAGCCGAGTTCTGCGAACTACTCTATATCGCCAACAAGGTGGTGAATACGAGGATAAATCGACTATCGAGCACTATTACCGGGAACGAAGGAGTAATCCTATTGTCTATCATGGCTCTGGTAGATTATTTAGTCTTCAATCACAACCACATTTTCGATATACCGACGGAGACCATGGCTGCAATCAGTTGGACACGCTCTCCGACTATGGATCGTCTATTGTTGAATTCTGGCTGGTGCCGCGGAGAATTACCCATCCTTTATTCCAAGTGCTCACCTATTATTCTGCTTTACCATGCAACCCTGAGACGAACGAGACAAGATAAAAACCACTCGAGATGTACTGATGTAGCATGTTACGCTAATCAGATCGAAGATGGAATGTATAAGCCTTCCCACGATGAGAGCTGCCGCAATATGGAGTGTGAAATGATAACGGCACCGGTTCAAGCTATTTGTGAGGTTCTCTTATATGACGGTATCCCGGTCGTCCGGGTCGTGGAAGGCCCATATGGGCCTATAATAGAGCTCGACAGCTTTAATCTAGGTGAACTAGGTGAACTAGATACCGTGCCGCCCTATGTCGCGATATCTCACGTATGGTCCGACGGGATGGGGAATCCAACAAGTAATAGCATGCATGTCTGTCAGTTAAGACGGATCCAGGGGCATGCGAATGCTCTAAACCCAACTGCGGAAGGGGGTAGCTATTTCTGGATGGATACCCTGTGCGTGCCGCTGGAAACTGGTGTAAGGAATCTAGCAATTTCAAGAATGGCAAGAACCTATGCCCACTCGACTAATGTCCTAGTCCTCGATAAATGGCTGGAAAGCTCAACGGTCAACAGAGATCCTCGAGAATGTCTAATCAGGATGGGGAGAAGCAACTGGAACCAGAGGCTTTGGACTTATCAGGAGGCTAAGCTTGCAAGAGATTGCAGATTTCAGCTACTTTCAGGGGCGGTCACATTTGACGAATTCTCCGGTGAAAAATTCCTAAATGAAGAGAATCATAAAAGAGTAGTAGATCATCTATTATCGCTGGATGAGAGTGATTTCTTCCGGTTCGACTACCTAGTGGTTCTACTAAAAGGGGCTCTTCCCCTCGATGAATTAACGACCGCGCGAGTAGATGAATATGCCAACTTGCCTGAAGGAGGTGGGCAAGAAGAGGAAGAGCTTCGTATTATGGCCATTGGGGCGGCGGAACATCTTCGTCTAAAAGCTAAACTCCGCCAGACGATTTCTCCTCTTATCGAAAAGCTAGGAAATCGCTATGTCAATACACGCGTCGACCCTCGGATAGAGGGCATGCTCAATTCGCCTAGAGACCCGGTCTTTTCATATGGACTGAGCATTCTAGGCCCCCTCAGGGGTGTCTTTTTCAGGTACACCATGGATCGAGGGAAGGACATGAACCCAACGGAAATATCTCAATTCACGGGTCATTCTAGTCCACCTCATCAGATATTTAGGGAGGTGGTACAAGGGCTGAAGGGTCGGATGACCAGTAGACGGGAAGATGAGACAATATGTATCGGTGGGATCATCGGCCTTGACGTTTCTCGCATGCTCAAATTCTCTGTTGATAAAAAGAAAAGAGCCGAACAAACGGAGCAAGTCTGCGCTACCAGAATGCAAGAGTTCTATCTGGCTTTAAAGGAGATCGGAAGCGACGTGCTGTTCTGGAATGTCCCTAGACTCCAAGATCCTGGGTTCTCTTGGGCTCCGCGTTCGTTCATGAACCTGGGGTCTGAGCAAGCATATGGCCGGCCCGCAACAATTACCAGAAGCGGGCTCTTCGTGCAGCTAGGAGGGATATCCTTAGGCTGCCTTAGCTTGGCTGACTTGCTTGCTAAACCGGTCATCCACGTAGATACCGATCTCAGACAAATATTCTTCAGACACGATAAGACATTTTATATGCAGCCTCCGGACTTTGACCCTGCGCAAACCCGTGAGCTTGGGCTCGTTACCGCTAGTTCTCCTACTCGAAAAGCTTTTGTCGCAGAGATTGTTAAAAGGAGGGGCCCTCTTAAGCTTATACGCTATATCCTACATGCAGAACTCATTGACGGGGTAAATGGTGAGGATTATGTGTACATCAAAGGTATTATGAATGGAGGAGAGAAGTTTTGTATCGTATGATAAACCTTAGGTGAAGATACAACGTGCGTTGGGCTGATTCTACGTTGTTTAACTTCTTACAACTACCCACCCCTATTGTAACGGATATATTCCTAATGGCCCTAAGCTCTTAGCCGATGCAGCAAGGTTCTGGTAGTATGTATTATGATTATATCCATCCCGGGTCGGACTTTGTGGGGAGGTACGATGCATAAACGTATAAACGCATATATAAGATTTCTACCAGTTAGAAGTAGGTACCTGGTACCTAACTGATGTCTTATCCTGTCGCACTGGACCATCGATATCCACATTCATAGCCACCAATTCTTATTCTCCTCTTTAGCTCCCTCCACTTGTTGCCCAAGAGATGCGGCTAGAGTGGGTTTGGGTTGCGCTAGCAAAACTAAGTGATGTACATGTATACGGAAATATGCTTCAAATTTTCACACAACAGATGAATGACTTGTCAAGCCATTCGATGAGCAATCCGAATTGGTGTAGTGGCTAACATTTGACGCTCTCATCATATGACCTATGACCCGTCAAGCCCGGGGTTCGATTCCCCGATTCGGAGTTCTTTTTGATACCATCTCGATGAGTTTTCTGCCAAGCATTGAAGAGTTCCTTCTTTCCTCTGTTAGATTTTTCTTTTTCCTCCGTCAGTGTGATACGACATTACACTATTTATCTTTTCGTATATACCTCCGCCTCTCAACGATTTTGAGTATAATGTCACTGGCTGGATATTTTTAATCTAACAAGGGTTTAGGCCCGCGCGGAAGGCGGGAGAAGTGGTGGTGTTTAGTGGTACCTAGATATCTCCAACATGACTGGGCCGGTTGTGGTGCCGGATTTCGATGAAGACTCCGTATCTCCTTGTGGTTCATTTATTCCATGATATCTACTGTTGAAGTTGGCAAGCTGGCATGTCAGATATAATAAATACCATGGTTATCGTACGCACAGCAAATACCCTATCTCCGACAAGCTATTACTCCAACATGCATGTCTGACATCTATTGCTTTACTTGATCTCTCTCAGTGTCAAAGCCAATCAAGGCTCGGTGTAACTGGGGGGATTTACTGCTCATCAATACGTCGGTATTGAGTAACTTTATGTACCTATTTATTAGGCTATCGATGGAGGGCACAATTGGGACTTGCTATCTACAGAATAGTATTATACTTGTAGATGTTTCTACGCATTCTTATGCCGTTTGAGCACTTTTGTGTATTAGTATATATCATGATACATAAGGTGCCTCTTAACGATGCCGTGTCTTTCTATGTAATATATCCGATGCTGACGCTGCATGTAGCAGCAAATGTCCCCTATAAATTAGTCTGTGATGATATCTCCCATTATGGTCTAGATCATGATCTTATTCGGTGCGGGACAGCTGAAAAGTCTTGACTCGGTGATAATTGCCATTTCATTATGCCGGCACTTCATTCGGTATATCATCAGATTTATCTTTCTATCACGCATGTAACCACATATATGGAAGTCTCCTGGTTCCATGGTGTAATGGATTTTAGACGAGAGGATACGGTAACCCGAAGAACACACTAAGGTATGTGATAATGCCGTCACCTTCTTGGTAGACCAACTTTTACTAAATGTAGAATATTTATAAGTTGCCCGTTAGTTATATGCTCTATAGTTTATACGAGGTATACGTATGTAGTAATGGTATTACTTAGATGAATAAAGTACACCTGAATTTACTGTTAAATACGATGCATCATTTGGGATATGGACACATGTCTACCTACCTGGGGCATATATTATTTCGCTATCATTGTGCATGAAGGTACTGTAACCTTGGCTGAGGGGGTTTAATAGCACATTATAAATACGCCGGTGAGCGCCTTGCTGAGGACCAAAGTGAACGAAACTTACCTCTCCTCATTTGTCATATTTTACTGCGAACATTACGATGAGTGATAGTTATAGCCTGGCAGTCGATAGGCTTGATGCCTTTAAGGTTGCCGACTTCGAAGGCCACGAGGCAGAAAGGCTGGAGTTGCTATCAAGTGCGCGTAAGCTAGTCGGTAGACTAGAAACGAAGCAAGAGAAAATATTCAATATCAATTTCCGGAATCCGGCCGAGTATGCGGCCCTGAAAATACTGCTGGACCTTGGTATCTGGCACCAGTGGACGGCAGTAGGTGGCGGTGAAAAGACTGTCCAAGAGCTAGCCAAGTTGGCTTCGAAAGATTGCGATTTGAACTTGCTCCGTGAGTACCTGGCATTTGCGTACGCTATTTCCTTGGTTGAGGGCTAAATTGGCCTAAAAGGTCGTCTACTGCGACTATTAGGGGCCACGTACATTATCGAAGAAACAGGAGAAGATCGATACAAACCAACCGACCTCTCGCTTTCAATCGGCGATGATTCTACCACCATTGCCCAGTGCATCATTTCCATGTGGGTTTGTATTTCTGTGGATAAGTTGTGCGGCTGCTTACTTGTTGTAGGGCCCATCACTGGAATGCCTCTACCATGAATTTGCCGTCGTTCCTGGCAAAGACTTCGTATCGTGAACCTTTGGATCCAAAGTATAATAACTATGTTGACGCCTTTCCGGAACGGTTATCATTCTTTGACAGATGTCTCTCTAATAAAAACTACCAGGATAGCTTTAGCGGCTATATGATGGAGTGGTCAAAGTACAGGTTTTCGTGGCCTGATTTCTACGATACGACTTCGCTCGTCGCCGGCGCTGATCTTACTTCTGGTGCACCATTAGTTATCGATATAGGGGGCCACCATGGCTATGATATTCTCAAGTTCCTGGATAAACACCCAGATATACCAGCCGGTTCTCTGGTCATCCAGGACCTCGAAGCTGTCCTCTCGGATGCACATCTCGGCACGGATAAGGTTAAACTCATGCCGCATAGCTTCTTCGAGCCTCAGCCTATTTATGGTAAGTCCGTATCATATTAAAATCGTACAAATCGGCATGAAACTGTAGAGCTAGGGGTTAACATATGCCGTGTGAAATAGGGAGTCGTGCGTACTTTCTTCGTGGGGTCTTCCATGACTGGGCATACGAACCATCACTTCAGATCCTCCGAAATATCATACCAGCAATGAAGAAGGGATATTCCAAGCTCCTGGTCTGCGACGTTGTAATCCCACCGAAGGGCGCGAGTGTTTACCAAGCGGGTATGGATTTGAACATGATGGCGCTCCTTTCAGCTTATGAAAGGACCGAAGCTACGTGGAGGAAGCTAATAAATGATGCTGGATATAAGATAAATAAGATTTGGATGGACCCTAGAGGGTATGAGGGGCTGATTGAAGCAGAATTGGCATAACTTAGTGGTCTAAGCATAGATGGGCGAACCGATTGCTAGGGGATTAGGAAGGGATTTGGATCATGACTATCTTGCGTTTTCAACAACACAAAAGGGATTAGGATGCTTCGTTTGATTAGCTAACGGCTAGATGATTAGGAGCTTTGATTAAGTTTGATACTATATAAGTTAAATAATGAATTGAACGAACTGAACGAATACATATAAGAGCGCTCGATTTTGATTTTAATATTTTAACATGGAAGTTCCATGATTGAAACAGTTAAGATTAGGTACTGTAACTAGAATAAATAAGAGTTGAGAGTACCTGCACCTAGAGTTAGGTGCTTAAGATATAGGTTAGTACGTAAGCCACGAATAATTCCAAAATGTGGCTTGCTGAATGTGGGTGGGGATCACTTGAGTCCCATGTCTTCGGGAACTCCAAGTCAGGAACAATCAATTTCATCATTCACTTTTATATGACTGTATATTCCACACACCTCAAGATTTTCAAAATTGATCCCATTCATCCATATAAATACCCTTCTACAATAACCTTCAAGCGTATATATAGTACGAGATGGAGTACCCCGATGTTCCCGAACAGCTGTCTCCATCACCTCCAGCTTCTCCCATTCCGGATCGACCTGCATCACCTGAACTCCCACTTACGATGACTGCGTCAGCCGTGCTCACGGCCCTTCCTCAAGATGCAAGCTCGGCCCTCGCCAGCGCTGGTAAATTTGAAAAGGAGAAAGTTCGTATTCGTTTCAAGGCAGTCGGGGGGTCTGCTCCGCAGCTTAAGCGTGAAGTGCGCCAGATAAGCGCCGCGCAAAAGTTCGAGGCTGTCGTGTCTCACCTGCGCAAGGCGCTGCATCTCAATCCTACCGATAGCCTATTTCTCTATGTGAATAGTGTCTTTGCTCCTGCTCTGGATGAGATCGTCGGTAACTTACATCAAGTATGTGTTACTATCTCATTATATTTGCTATTGGAACGCTGACCTGCCTAATAGTGTTTTAAGGATTCAAACGATCAGTTGATCGTGGCTTATTCAATGACTCCTGCATTTGGATAAGATGAAGGAGTGCTGCAATCATGATGTCTTAATCGTACTCCTCAAACGCCTATCTATGCTGATACGGTATACCAAACCAAACTAGATGGCCGCGCCCTTAACCCTCTATCGGTCTGTGGTATAATGTAGAATCCAACCAAGCGATTGATATCGTGTCATAGCTTCTTAATATCTCTCATGAACGCCTCGAGCTCAGCTGGAGGGATAGGATATGTATGCTCTGGAGCTGGGTATTGGCGGGTTTTCACCTCCTCTCGATAAGACTCGATCGCTCTACGGCTTTCGGCCCACACATTACCATACTGTTTTACGAACTTAGGAATGAAACGACCGGGCGGGAAGTTACCGGTCATGTCGACCTGGACGAGTACCTGACCAGAACAACCATTTCCCGCACCGATTCCGATGGTCGGGACGCGTAGCTTCTGCGTGATGATACTTGCGATTTCCGCTGGAACGGCTTCCACCACCATACCGAAGCATCCAGCTTCTTGCACGGCCAACGCGTCTTCGAGGATTTTCATTGCACCTTTTGATGTTTTCCCTTGGACTCGAAACCCACCAAGGGCTCCTTGGCGTTGAGGTGTAAGCCCGATATGGCCTAAGACGGGTATACCAGCTTTGGTTATCTTCGCAATGGTTGGTGCCATCTCTATTCCTCCTTCCAACTTGATACCTTGGACGCGACCTTGTTTGATGAATCGTATGGCTGTTTCTAGTGCTTGCTCCGGTGAGATTTCATACGACCCCATGGGAAGATCTCCGATCTGAGTTGACGTTAGTTTTTCGTATCAATCAAATTTGGCATGCGGACTTACTGTGAAGGCTGCTTTGGTGGCACGTGCAACTGATCGACAGTGCAGCAGCATGTCCTCGACTGTTACTTCACTGGTATCTTCCATCCCTAAGGCGACCATCGCTAGGCTATCTCCCACAAGTACCACGTCCATCCCAGCAACATCTGCGACGTGTGCGCTTGGAAAATCATGGGCAGTCATAACTGTGATAGGTTCCCCCTTTTTATACATGGATTGAAGAGTTCCCATAGTTACCTTTTTTCTTGAGGGATCTAACCCTGTGCCTAGAGGCGAGTGAGAACTCCATCTTTGTTGGTGTAGTCTTTGCTGCTGCCATGGTGGGGGTGATGGTCTAGCACCAGCGAAGGCAGCGTTTGATAATGATGATAA